TAAGAAGCAAAACACTTTTAAGGGTAAAGTTTTTTTCTTTTCGTTACAAAACGAAAAATATACATAGGAAAAAATCCTTAACTAATTAATGTACACTAAAATGCAAAAGTCACAGTATCCGGAATAATGATGGTTAAAATTTTGGTGACAAGATGGCCGATGTAGTTGCTAAATTTTTGGATTAACTACTTGTTATTGCTTCACTTTTATCCTACCTTTTTGATCGCTCATTTTCCCGTCCTTCGGTGGATGCCTGTTGCATTTTTAAATTGCAAGAATTTGATTTAAACCAGTCGGTGCTACGATTCCTATGTCCGAAAATGCATTATCACTTTTCGTACAAGCCAATATTTATATATATATATATATATATATATATATATATATATATATATATATATATATATATATACCACGAATTTGTAAACAATAACTACTTTTGCTAATACTGTAAAGCTCTTCCATGAGCTCTCTCGGTCATTGGTGTGTTTATTCGAAGAATAATTCGCCTTCCTCGATCCCGGCTTGAGGCAATCGGATGTCTAGCCACACTGATGAGCTGCGATACAGCGAAACAGTCTTTCTCTTCTCTCTCTCTCTCTCTATATATATATATATATATATATATATATATATATATATATTATATGTATATATATATATATATATATATATATATATATATATATATATATATATGCAAAGTTCATTAAATATGACAGACAAGGTGTTTTGTTTAAAGTTTTTTTTCATATAATTTCTCATATGATCTTCTAATTTTTTCTTTTCAGCAGATAAATGATACAAAAGCTGTCCAAATGTTTTATTTTTCCGAGCCCTTTCGGCTATACATCTAGCCATTTTCAAGGATAGAATATATTTACTGTTAACTGGAAAATGATTGTTGTATGTATGTATTTAGTATTATAGAATGTTTTATTTTCGAAACACAGTCAAAATATTGTGTCCATGTTCTAAGTTGATATTATTGAGTGTAGCTTTGGATAGTTTTTGTATAAATTATCTACTGAAAAGAAAAGAAATATATAAGATTATATGAGAAATTATATAAAAACTTTGTCTACCTTATTTAATGAAGCTTGCATGAAAGAAGCATTGCTGCCTAAATGCAATATATATATATATAAAGCATTTCACCCCAAGCAAGGGTGGAAGCCACTAGGACGCAAGGGGTTACAGAAAATTTACAGCAAGAGCAGATAAGAGTAATAGAAGAAAGGATGAGGGTAGTGGATAGATCAAGGCAACTGGAGATGTCGATTGACATTACACTTGAATAGCTGGAGATTATAGCTCACAGGGAAACAGGAATAGGGAAGGGAGTTCCACAGGCGAGAGGTGCGAGACATGAAGCTACTGGAGTAGAATAGACGGCTACATTTAAGAGTTTCGACAGTGAAGGGGTGAGAGCGGGATGCCAGCCTCGTAGGGCGCTTGAACTCATGACGTCTGGGAACCAGCGAATGCAGTTCCTCGGAGCAATTGCAATGAAAGTATTTGTAGAACAGACAGAGAGAGGCGACGGCGCGTCTGTGAGAAAGTTACTGTAGATGAAATGCCAGAGCAGGGCCAACTACATTGCATATCCGCCTCTGGATCTTATCAAGAACCACGAGGCAAACAGAAGGGGCACCAGACCATATATGGCAGCAATACTCCATGCAAGGGCGAATTGTTGATTTATATATATATATATATATATATATATATATATATATATATATATATATATTATAATTTTACATACGAACAAAGCAAATTATTCACTACAAAGATGCATTTTTGTTTCGATGCGTATGCATCTCGAATGGTGAGAAGCAAATATGGTTATAAACAATTCTATATACAAGCAATCCGCTTATGGAACGTCACTACAATTTCTCTTTATTCAAATTGTTTTGGGAAAAAAAAACATAGGGAGAAACACCTTAAGAGGAAAAGGAGAAGGGTAAAGAAAAGAGAGAAAAGAGAAGGAAAGAAAAGAAAGTGACAGAGTAAGACAGTAGTATTTGTTGATATCAATTTGAGCGGTGAAGGAATGTTGGGACGTTAAGACAAGAACCTGACCCGAAAGGTTTCATACTCTTGTGTAAATTTGGTAAATATATCTGTTAAAATGAGATTCCAGTGTTATTTTCATTTTTGCGTAATTTTGACGACAATTTATCCACTGCACTTTTATATATATATATATATATATATATATATATATATATATATATATATATATATATATACATGCACATACACATATATATATAATTTATTCGAAAATTATAACAATAACATGTTATAAAATCACTCAAAAAAATTGATGCATTCAACACCATCACATCATAAGACACCAGAAGTGTTGAAACAAAATTACTATTTTTGACGGACCGCATCAAATAGATGTAAAAGTATTTTACATATACTTCATGCTGTCCGTCAAAAATGTGTGAATTTCTTTTCATTTTTCATTTCAACCTTTGGAAGTAAAGTCTGATGATCCAGAGCCCTGTTAAAGGGGTTATGGTGAAATAACTTATTACAGGAACCTTAAAGTGGTCTGTTTTTATTCAAATATATATTATATTTAAATATATATATATATATATATATATATATATATATATATATATATTTGTTTGAATAAAAACAGACCATTATATATATATATATCCCGAAAATTTGCACGTCGGATCAGTTCGTTTAAATCAAATATGTGGTGCAGTTCAGTTTATATTACAATGAATCATTCATACAAAAAGTAGATTAGTAAAGTTAATGATATAAAATGGCGAAATCCTTCAAAAATTTTAAAGTTTCATCAACCTACAAATTACTTGATGAATATTATGATCCTTGTTTTTAATAATTATAAGCTGTATAAGGTATTTTCTTTAATACACAACTACTTTCAACTGTACATTCAGTCATCTTCAGACATAGAAATTATTTTGTTTTTAGTAAAATCCACGTAGCATCCGAGACGAAAAAATTAAATGCAAATCGAAAGATGTTTTTTTTTCCTTTTTTTTTGTTGAAATGTGTTATTGTTAACGGATACAAACGGATACAAACTTTTTGAAAATTTAAGAGAGTGGGTGATTTACTAATATGGCAATTTCAAATATATATATATACATATATATATACATATACATATATATATATATATACACATATATATATATATATATATATATATATGTATATGTAAGAATTAATGGATTTTCATAGAGACCGACGTTATATTTACTGAATACACCTGCTTGAGCAGACGTCTCTGTTTTTTTTTAAAGTATGCACAATGTCCATAAATTATCTTCCACAGTTTACTTCATCAACAAGAGTTAAGATACAGCCAGAGTCAGTTTAAGGGACTCGTGGTCCCCCCTACAAATCCATTATATGCCCTCCTCTACTATATCTCAATTTTCATAAGCTCGTATTCATATAAAATACAACATTTTTTGTAGCCTAATTAATTATGAACAATAATGGACCGTCTATATAATAAATGCGAATATCAGTATGTCACACTTTTTCAATGGAAGGGACATAACTTTCTAACTTTCAATAGCTCATGTTACAGAAATTCTAAATTCCTAACTTTTCATTACTGCGATTATTTTCGGCGATTTTTTTACGCGTTTTATTTTTTTTTCTTTGCACCGAAATGTTTTATACGATAACAATTTTTATGACTTGGATATAAATTTGGGAATAATCGAAATTAATTGCGAAATCCAGCGAAGGTCACCCATGAAAAAAAAAAAAAAAAGATTGTTAGTGCGGAAAGTAAGTACCTACGCACATCAAATTAACTTTAAGTTAAGTGGCGGAAGAAGAATTAACGTTGAACTTGTAAAAGTTAAGCTTAAATATTAATGCAATATTGAAATGCAGCGATCAAATTAGAGTTCTTCCGTAGTTTATTCTTGCCTATCTTATACGGCAGCAGTATGCTTCGCAGCGAGGAAAAAAAAAGTCCAGAGCAAATGAAAACCCAGATCAAACGGCAGCCAGGAGAATGAACAGACTGAAACAGATATATATATATATATATATATATATATATAGATAGATAGATAGATAGATAGATAGATATGAATAGATAGAGATAGATAGATAGATAAGATAGATAGATAGATATGAACAGATGGAGATAAGAGATATGGACAGATGGAGATAGATAGATAGATAGATAGATAGATGTGATAGAGTTTATTCTTCTTTCAGTAAAAGATAATGATTCAAACTTGCTGCCCGTCGATGTGGACAGACGGAAATGAAATAAATAGATAGGAGAATGAATAGATAAACAGATAGATAGATAGATGTGGACAGAGCTAGGTAGATATGGAGACGGAGATAGATAGATATAGATAGATAGATGATAGATAGATAGATAGATATGAATAGACCGAGATAGATAGATATGGACAGACGGAGATAGATAGATAGACAGATAGATAGATATGAACAAACTGAGCTAGGTAGATATGGACAGACGGAGATAGATAGATAGATAGATAGATAGATAGATATGAACAGACCGAGATAGATATGGACAGATAGATAGATAGATAGATAGATAGATAGATAGATAGATAGATAGATAGATGCATCTGAATTCGTAGTTTGCTCTTTTTCAGTAAAAGATTTTGATTCTCACTTGGTGCCCTTCGTCTGTGGTCTTGTCCAAATCAAATGAAAACACAGATCAAACGGCAGCCAGGAGATTGAACAGACTGAAACAGATAGATAGATAGATAGATAGATAGATAGATAGATAGATAGATAGATAGATAGATAGATAATGAAAATATTGACCAATGATAAGTGTATAAAAATGTAAAAATATCAGCAGTGTAATTGCTGATACACCCTGAAGAGTGGACGGACAGTTCCGCCTTCGAAACTCTGGAGTCGAGATTCTTTGGAGTCGAGATAGATATGAACGGGCTGATAAATCGAGCGGGCGAGTGAGAATGAGAGAGGCAGGTTAGTGCACAGAAAACGCTTAGATTAAGGCCGTTGACTAGTAAGAAAAATGAATAATTAAATACAACCCTTTTTTTTTTTTTTTTTTTTTTTATAGTTTTTCTTCAACTCCAGTATAGAAGCAAATCCTTTTCAAAAGGAAAGCACACAAAGAAAATCTGTCTATTCATACTTCCATTTGACAAAAAGAATAATGATCGGCAGGCAAGACAACGTGGGAGTCTCGTCTTCGTGGCCAAGAATCTTTCTGAATCTTAACTGATTCCAATTTCATTATTTTAAAGAAATGACTGACAGCTTTAACGAACAAATGTCAAAGAAATTTGAGATTAAGGAAAAAAAAAAAGTGGAATGTTGAAGTAAGTCATTAATAATTGCCTGCTTGGCCATCTTTCAGTAAGTGTGATGTTTTCTGACAATTGGAGAGTGTATGGAGAGGTCTCTGTAAATATTACATTTCTTATGTAGATTTGTTAACTCAGATCATAGCGTTTTCTCTCTTTCGATTTCTTCCTCTGGCTCAATCTGAGCCTCGGAGACTGCCCCCTCTCTCTCTCTCCCTCTCTCTTTCTTTTTCTTTCTCTGTCTGTCTGAATCTCTCTGACAGAGTTTTATTCCACTCTTTCAATATTAGTCTCTTTTTTTTCTTCCTATATCAGTCTCTGTCTCGCTGACTCTCTCTCTCTCCCTCTCTCTCCACACTCTCTCTCTATCTTCTCCCCTCTCTTTCTTTTTCTTCCTCTGTCTCAATCTGTCTGTCTGTGTCTCTTTCTGTTTCTTCTTCCGTCTCAATCTGTGTCTTTTTGATTGTCTGTCTCTCTCTCTCTCTCTCTCTCTCACTCCCCATCTATCCTTCTTTTTCTTCCACTGTCTCAATCTGAATCTCTCTGACTGCGCTTCTCTCTCTCTCTCTCTCTCAATCACTCCCTCTCTTTGTCTCTCTCTCTCTCTCTGATTCCCTCTGTCTTTCTTTTACTTCCTCTGTCTCAACTTGAGACTCTCTGTTTGCCTGTCTCTCTCTCTGATTCAGGCTTTCTTTCTTTTTCTTCCTCTGTCTCTATCCGAGTCTCTCTGTTTCTCTCTCTCTCTCTCTCTCTCTCTGACACCCACTAACTAGCTTTCATTTTCTTCCTCTGTCTCAATCTAAGAATTCTTTGACTGTCTGTCTGGCCCACTCACTTCTTCTCTCTTTCTCTTGCTACATCAAAATCTCAGTGCCTCTATTTGTCTCTCTCCCTCTTTCTGTCTCTTCGTCTAACTCAGTCTCCTATTCTCTGTCTCTTTCCCCTCCCCCTCTCTCTCTCATATTCTCCCACACTCTCAATATCGATTTGTCTCTCTCTGTTTCTCTTCCACGGTCTCAATCTCAGTAAGTCTAAGTGTCGGATTCTCTCGCTCGTTTTCTGTGTCAGTCTCAGTTTGTTTACGCACACATACACTGATATATATATATATATATATATATATATATATATATATATATATATATATATATATATATAAGTTACGATGGTAAATTGTCGCCATTTTATATTTTTATTTCGCGCATGCGCATTGTTTTTTATTTTTATTTTGTCAACTGCCCAATATGGTTAAGTCGCCAGAAATTTGGAAACAGCATGCTGTATGCTTGGCATTCCTACCGGAACCTCAAAAAGGAACATTTCAAAGTATTTGGGTGTCAATCTGGGGACAGTGCAGAGGATTCAGAAAGAGTTGGATGAGTCTATTTGTGGTTACGAAGGTACGGCACCTCGGATAACTCACTCCGATCGTTCTGATAAGAAAAGACCCCCCCACACACACCAAATTTGCTGGTGAGTGTCTCAGACTTAACACAGAAGCCTATATGAAGTACCCTGAGGAGGTAGTGCTTCCCCGGGTCAATAGGATGGTTGTTAAAAAATCCCTATGTCTGGCAACAGGACTCTGCTCCATGCCACACAAGCAGAAAAAACTTCTGCGATCACATGACCCTTTACGTCTGGCCACCTAACTCTCCAAACTTCACACCCCCCTTGGTTATTATGTGTGGGGCGGAGTTGAGCGAGAAACCATCAAAATTCCTTGTAGCATCAAAGATGAACTGAAGGCAAGGATTATGGCAGCGTTAACCAAATTAAACAAGGAGACTGTCCAGAAGAACTGCAGGAGATTCTGTAGTCGGCTGCTGGCCGTGGGAGAAGCCAATGACGATTTTATTGAATAAATTTGGCATTTTAAGATATTATTGTATAATTTTGCTAAATATATGTGTTAAAATGAGATGTCAATGTTATTTTTGTGTAATTTAGATGACAGTTTAGCCATCTTCTTTCTTCCTTTCCCCATATCATTTCCGTTAAGTTGACCGATTAAATAGGTCAATGTCTGATCCTTACCTTCTCCTTCCTCAATATTGTAATAAAAAGAAATATAAAGGTAAATTTTAAACTCTCCCTTCCCTCTCTAAGGTCGACCATGTCTCTTACACCATTCCTCATCACC